GTATCACATCCCCTGCTCACCCCTGACTCCATCCCCATCACAGAATATCTAGTGTTTGTATTATGTACATCATAGACTTGAGTTAATAGCTGTTGAAAGGATAACTACATAAGTGAAAGATAGACGAAGCTGCAGAGATACTGGCCATTTATGTGAGAAGTGGCCAGTGAGGCGCATGTGGGTGGTCCCCTGCCTCAGTGAGGCAGTCCTCCCGTACCTCACCCTCAACCCCATCCTCCACCCTTCCCAACACTGCCCGTCCTTTTGTGTTCGCACTTCTCTCTACCATAGTTATTACAGCATAAAACCATTTCCACCCTAGTGCAGTGCTCAACAGCAAAATATTGGCCTAACCTTCCAGATGGACTGGGGCAAGAGTTTCCTGTGAAGCTTAAAATAGAGGACAGTTGGGCTAGAAGTGACCTTAAAATACCATCTAAGCCATTCTCTTAGTCTCATAAAGAACATTTGATTGCCAAGATTTTTGAGAATGGATTTAATATACTCCAAAAATTAAGATTCCGTATCTATGTGCCACTGTTTTAGTATAAACACCCAATTATTCCTTTAAACTATGTAATTGATGTATCTTTTATACGTGCTCCTGTCTACTTCCCAAGAGTGCTTACAATAAAAAGAAGCTTACAAATGTACGTGGGCATTCGCGTACACACACAAAACAATAAAAATAATGACCTTAGAACAACAATAATGAAGAAGGAAAAGAGCTATAAGGAAAAATATTTTTGAGCAGCTTTCTTTAGAAAATTCTGGTAAAAAAAAAAATACTTTTATTTTATGCCAGTACTGCCACTCTATGATCATTTTAAAGAGGAAATGGAAAAGAAGTCCAAAGATAAGAAATCCCTTAATTTCATCAATCACAACAAGAACCTTCTTAAAAGTATTGAATTTTTCCTAATAAACTGTCAGTGGCTGTCAGCAACTAACTACGTTTGCTGTGCAATTTGCAGGTCAGCAGCGCTGGCATTGTCAATGCTACGGATGCCTCAAGGCTCTGATAAAGATACCTGGCTTCAGCAATAAGCATCCAGTTGCCTCAATATAAAGATTTTTTTTTCTTAACTATTATTTTTGATGGCTATATAGGGAGTGTGCTTAAAAGACCCAACTATTTGGAAGATGGGAGCCTGGCTAGGGGGAAATTGCCCAAGAGCTCGGTTGTTCTGGGAGAAGCTCCTGGTTCAGCCACTTGGAGGAGATGGGAGATGGCAGCAGAAATAGCAGAGGTGGTTTATGGAAGGATTTAGTCTAGAATTCACTCGGAGTTGGAGAACTTATTAAATAAAAGAACATATATCAATGACCACATAGATACTATTTTAGAACAAGAAACAAATGGTAAAAATAAGCCCCCCTCTTTGTTTTTACTTGTACAAATTTCTATTAGCACAGAGATGCAGCCTTTGAGACTGAAGTCAAAGAATTTCAATAGTATAATCTATCAGGCTAAAGCAACCTTTACCTAAGAGGCCATCTTGTCTCTAAATTTGCCTTGAATTACAAGAATTTACCTCAATCAACGACTGCAGACCACTGCTTGCATTTCCTACCATAATTATTACAGTTGCTTCAGGGATCTGCTTATATTAATGGCTTTTAGACACCACAGTTGCTGCTGTCATTTCCACTGCCTATTCCTGGACCTTTATGTATCCCAATAAAAGCCCCAAATTAAATTACCTATGAACATTTTGTCTACTTGAATACTGCTGAAAGCAAACAAATTTTGCATTATGTCAATTGTACATAAGAAATATTTTGATTCCTTAAAATCCAAAAGAAATAGTAATGTAAAAATTGGATGCTGTTATGGTCTGAACATGATGTCCCCTCAAAATTCATGTGTTGAAATACTAACCCCCAAGATGATAGTATTAGGAGGTGGGGACTTCGGGGGCAGAGCCTTTATGGTTGGGATTAGTACTCTTATGAAAGAGACCCCAGAGAGCTAGCCTGCCTCTTCCACCATGTGAGGTTACAGCAAGAAGGCACCACCTATGAACCAGAAAGCAGGCCCTCATCAGATACCGAATTTGCTGGCACCTTGATTTTACCAGCCTCCTGGACTGTGAGAAATAAATTTGTATTGCCATTCAGTTTATGGTATTTTGTTACAGCAGCCCAAATAGACTAAGACAGATGCTTATGCATTTTTTATGGTGAAAGATCTTAAAAGAGTTGGAAACTGGACCTGCAGCTAGATGCTCTTCACAGGCATAAACAATCCAGACACGACACATTAAATCTAGTTATGCAATCTTAGAAATGAAAAAGAGATCCTCATGTAGTATTATCAAAAAACCATTGAGTAATATTAAAAATATGCTTCAACTTTAGTACACTTTGACTATGTCCATTTCTTTGTTCACTCAATAGCTGATTTTTTTATTCCATGGCTTTACACACTAGTAAAAGAATTATGTTTTTAAACTGTTTTGATTGCTTATTCAGTCAAGTTACCTACCAATTTAGAAACAAAGACTTACTGTGCAGCCAGACTGCTTGGGGACAATGTCTGTCCATCATCCTCACTCCACACATGCTTTGTATTGTTCGAGTCACCTAAAGTAATAATATTTATATTAGTGAATATTTAACATGTTTGTTTAAAGATTTTTTTCCTAGAAAAAAAAATCCTAGGTTAAACTAATGTGGACGAAATGCAGACAATCTGCAGAATTTTTCTCCAAAGCATTTTGCAAAAGACGTCTATTCTTTTTTTGTTGGAAACACTTAGGAGATTTATAGGAAATAGATGCCTACTAATAAAAATAATCCCAGTGGTCAAGCACATGCATTTCTAACAAATTCTTACTCTGTGCGTCAAACCACTACATTGTTTTATTCCAAGATCTCTATGCATAGATGACTCTTGAATACCATAATGAAGATTAGCTACCACGTGACTTGTAAATCAGATCAAGCCAATTTCAGTCTTGTGGGTCACTGGATTTTATTTTTTTTGCCTTAAGTTATCTAGAATGCAGCCTTGGGAAATACCTGCCATCACTAATCTATATGTTCTATCTTTTTAAAAGCAGCCACTGATCTCAATTGAATGTAGCCATGAATGTAAATTGTCTAATGTTAACCAAACTGTTCTGAGTAGTCTCAAATAACATGAAGGTGCAGAGTGCAGAAGGCAATCACTAAGCTGGGTCTAATGGAAATCATATGTGAAGCTCTAATTCAACGTCATGAGTTGCCACTAAAAGTTAAATAGGACACCTATTCAGCTTGCTGCATGCATAAGGTTGGATCATAAAAGAGTAAGTGTACAACAGCATTCACATGAAAAATTGAAAATGAAAATGTCTTAAATGGCCACTGCATAAATAAAAACATCATAAAGCCAATGCTTTAGGGAAACAGTATCACTTAATTCAATCTTCTCTTCAGTTGCTACTCACTCCATATAAAAAATCCAGTATGTTTCAATGCTGTCATTTCTAACATTGGCTTAATCACTTTCAATAGGATATTTTATTACCAGCTTCACTAGTTCTTCCTTTTTCCTCTAGTGAGAGTACCATAAAGCCTTCTGTAAAGGTCCTAGTACAAAACTAGGCAATCGTTCATGTTTTTCTGGTGCTGATTGTTTAATTAAATTAGCATGTGTGTAAAAAAGACTATCCCAGAATTAAAAACCACCTTGTCTACCTCCTTTATCAGCTGTGTTTAACTAGTGTTTGCACACCGTCTAGTAACTGGCAAAGTGATTTTTTCAGTTTTCCTGTTCATTAGAGTGGAGTTTCCCTGTGCTCTGGTCAAGGTGCCGCTGAACATTATTGCACTAACAATAGCAATGCATCAGCGAGTTAAAAGACCAAGAATGAAGATGCTCATAGAGTGGAGTTTCCCTGTGCTCTGGTCAAGGTGCCGCTGAACATTATTGCACTAACAATAGGAATGCATCAGCGAGTTAAAAGACCAAGAATGAAGATGCTCGGAATAAATAAACCTAATTAATAACAGTAATACTGATTACTTATTGGCATCTGTAGGAAGAATAAGGATATAAACTTGTTGAGATTTATGCTTTTGCAACGTAAAAGTATATAAAAACTGTTTACCAAAATCAAATCTTGCCAACTTGGAACTCATATGTGATGCTGGGCAAGTCAGTTGCCATTTGTATACTATGTGGTCATGAACTTTCTCTTTTTCATCAAGCTATTAAAATAAGTAACAAACAGAAAATCAACTTTATACTATCAATGATAGACTTGACCCTGAAGTTAAATAGGGACTTTCCCTCTGGCTGCTAAGGACTATAAACTATCTTGGAAGAAATACTAAACTAAACAGGATTTGATGAAGTGAAAAATGTTGCAGACCTTTAAAAAGTGAGATTTTTACTTTTTTTTATTTGTAGAATTAGGCATATTTAAAAATAGTACCCACAGACATAGAAATCTAGTGCACAGATAACCTCTTTTCATCTGTAAGGATTGCTGTCTATTTTAAAATGTAATTTATATAATTTACGAATTTGCAAAGGTAATCTCTGCTCCCAAAACTCAGCACAGTATTTATAAATGGAAATACTATATGGCTTAGTAACTGTGTGGCTGGGATCCTAGCTGAGGCAGAGCTGAGAATTATCCCTAAGACAGGAAGCTAGGAGACGAGACAACATCCTTCTCAAGTGTTTGTTAGCATCTCCATATTTTCATGGTTGCTGAAGAAGCTTCTGAAGAAACCCTGAAGTGTGTTCATAATTCAGGTTGGATCAGAGATGGACATGGGGTGGGAGAGGTGTATGGTTATCAGAGTGTGGAGAGGAAAGGGGATGGCTGCGGAGACATTTATCATGTGGGAAGGAGTGGGGCAGGACAAGCCAGCCCCATCAGTGGTACAGCTCTGAAGTGAAGCAGGTACTTGCACCTCCCAGTGAGCTACCCTGGAAGCAAGTGCATGTATGTCACACAGAGTAGACGTGAGTGAGGCCATCTGTAAAAGAGCTCAAGGAACCTGGTTTGGGGCATACATGAATCAAGGTTCTAATCTCCTTTTGGCCACTTGCTGGATATGTAACATAGGCAAAGTGCCCAGCTTCTTTGTGCCTCAGTTTCTATGTCTGTAAAATGGGTTAATAACTGTATCTCACAGAGTTATTTTGATGCTAAAAGGAATTTAAGAACACTGAGCAATGACATGATAAATACTACCTATTATTTTCCTTACTTGAAAGAGTGGTGTGAGACCTACAAAACTATCTTAACCCTGCCATAAATTGAAGAGGGCCCAAGCAACTGTGCTATGAGCTACCACCCCACTCCAGCTTAACTGGGTGTAAAACCAAGGGAGAAGGTATGTTCAACTTTAAAATACTGCTAAAACCCATGAAGACTAAGCATGTGGTGACCTGGGCAATATAGCGGGTATTTGTACTTGCGGCCAGAGACTCCCACACTATTGAACTTGAATCAATGGGTCAGCCTTCAATGGCAAGTTTGAGTTCCCTAAAGGATTTGCAGAAATACCTAGGAGGATTTTTCAAAGGCCATGAAATTTCTGTTCAAGCCTGTAGGGGCTTGGGGCTAATGACTTTTAGGAATTGACATTAATACAACTCTATTGTTATCCCTAGGCTGATGAAGTCATAAGTATATAAAATGTAAAAACAAACAAAAGTTAAGCACATCAAATTTTACAGATAAAAATGTATTTCCTCAATGTATTCCCTGTCATCTTGAACATCCAATGACATGTTTTAATGCTTGCCAAGGCTATTAGCATATTCACAGACATAGACATGGCCATTGTTGAATATTAAAAATTGAGTTATAATGTTCACCAGGAGAAGTGTTTTGCTGCCTGGTTAATTAGAAGTGCTGCTTACTTCTCTGGCTTCTAAGGCACTGATAAGCTTTTGTCCTTTGTAAAAAGAAAATTTTAGCAAAATTTATCACTTTACTTTGTATTAATTATAAGGTGTGAGCCTGAAGATGAAAAGAAAAACAATGGTAAGGAGGAACATGAAGTTCTCAAATCTTTAAAATGAAAGTATATGTTAAAAAAAAACAAAACAGGAAATTAGTGTTTGCTAGTGCATTGTTGAGGTTTCTGGCCTGGATTCTTTTTAAGAGTGAGACTTTTTTTCTAATGTTTTTCAAGACCATTAAATTTAACAATAGTCTTACAAGCTAATCATTAATTCTGTAATTGTAGATACAAAAATGCTCTAGACAAACAGAAAGCGGTATCCAAGAATATGGTGGACCTTCCAGTGAGAATGCTCCAAAGCCTTCACAAACCTGCTTTTCATAAGAAAACTGATATTTTAAGACTATGTAATGAACAATCAGCTTGTGATCTGATTGTTTCAGGATGTTTTCTTTATAATCTAAAGGTAAAAGTCTACCTACCTAAAAGCTGAAAAACTCAGTTAAAAAAGCATAATTCTAAATCCATTCAAGAGAGGTAAATGTTAACCTGACATTTCACTCAGGAAGTAGGGATTTATTACTTACGTTCCTGAACCTTTGTCTATATGTGCCTGTGTGTACATATCTGTGTGTTTTCATGTGAATGGTAGACAATGCTATTCTATATATGCGAAAGTGACTATCTGACTCACTAGTGACACGCTATACCTTAGCTTACTTGGGGTAGGGGGAGGCAGTGGATTTATATGGTTTATTCATGTTCTGATGTCTATCATGCATCTTCAAGGTAGCTGGTTGAGGGTTATGTTTTTACCAATGAAAGATTCCTCCTGGTGAAAACATCAAAGTTTGGAAATGATGGCAAAAATACTGCAATTCAGTTTAGGCTTTTCTTCCAAAAGTAACGGTAGAAATCTTTTTGTTGAGGCTTACTCCCTGATATTTATTGTCTGTACCAAGTATAAATATAGATTTATATGCTAAGAGAGATCATTTTCACCTAAATAAAAACCCTAGAAAGTCACAGCCTCTTTTCAACTATTTCTCCCTTTCTCCACACTTTGATTAACTAGAGATCCACACTTATCCATAGCATATGTCCCCACCTAAGAATAATATCATCTGTACATAATTACTTCAGTTGTGCTCAGCTTTATATTTCTAATGGGCTTCATGACACTGAATTTAATAGAGTAAGATGGAAATATAATACCTTGAGCTGGGGAGTCCAGAGTGTACAGCAGATGTTTAACAGACTTCTGAAGTGTTCTGAAACCTTCGTTAGTTGCAACACGTGGATAAACCTTCTGCAGGACCAGCAGTGCACTAGAGTCGAAAAACAATTAAATCAGATTGTGTTTCAAGGTTTGCAGACAGAAACAAAAGGTTATTCAAGGAGAAACTGGCTACAGTATAGAAAATTATTCTTATAACATAAAAGACAAGATGCTGTTTTTGTAATTTAATTGCTTATTTGTCTGTTCATGCGCAAAATCCCAACAAGATATTCTTGAATCAGGACAGAGCACTTTACGTTTCCAGGATTCTAAAGCCTCAGGACTCACAGGCCTTAAAAAGGAAGGGAGCAAAGTTCACATCAGTTTTTTCTATTAAGACTTAAAACCAAGTGATTAGGAAAAGCAACTTCCAATGAAAAGAAGTTTATTTTTTTAAAAAAAGTTTCTTTTAAAAAAAAAAATTCAAAAGAAAATCAAATATTAGAAATTATTTTCTTTAAATATCAAGCCCAGATAAAGGATCCAGTTTCAGGAACAATTATTATTTAAGCATTTGATAAATGTTTATTTTTTGCTAAACAGATGGTAATGTTTCGGGGGAAGAAAAATGGAGTTTGCCCTAACCAAAGACTGTATTCTATCCTCTAAGTGGCCCATGGGTGCTACTCCAAAGGTGGCTCAAAATTAATATCCGCACTGACCAGCACTGTCCTATGATATTTACATTACCACTAAGGAGGGCAGTTTACACTGGAGATAGACAACGAGCAAATTTGCTTATGCTTGAGTTCATTCTGTATTTCCAAAAAGCAGTTAGTTACCTAAGAAATCCCGTTTTATCCCCTTCTACTCATTTGTTCTTTTTTAGAGAAATGTCGCTATTGCGTAAGTGTGTCTGAATTTCACAAATACTGTGATTTATATCAATAATCAAGGCTGAGTCAAGTCTTTAATTAACTTGAGTAGTAACTAGAACAAAGGATTTTATTAACAATTTGCCATTTTGAAGTTACATGTAGTACAAATTAGCTAATATTTTTTCTCTATCAAGTATCTTAGTAAACTGAAAGCTTTCTCTAGCAATAGATAGAGTATGTGTGTATACTTTCATGGTATTTTATGATGTTTTGGGAATTTTAAAAATTTAGATTAAGATCATTTTAATTTTGGCCCCCTAGGTATGAATGAAAGCTGTTTAGAGGGCTAAATTTTGAGTGCCTTCCAGGTAGTTTCTAGTATAACGTAAGGATATACATATAGATATGTGTTTGTTTAAGTAAACACACTTAAATGTATGTATGCATATGTACATATTTTTGAATTTAATTCTCTAATAATTCCATGAAGTCAATTTTATTTGCACTGTTTTGCAGATGGGAAAACTAAAGTTCAAAAAAGTTAAATAACTTACACAAGGTTATCCAGTTACGAAAAAGGAGAGCTGAGGTGGGATCTGTCTAGTTTCAAAGTGTATGTTCTTTCTACTCTGTGCGTTGCCTCTGGCTCAGAAACTTTGCCCCAACATGGCAGGAAAGGAGGGCAGGACATTTCTGCACAGAGCCCACAGGCATCCTTTACTAATTAGCCCAGCTATGTTCCAAACATTTAGCCATAGAGGCATGGCTGTATTTTTTTCATCTCTGCTCTGTATACATGACAGTTGATCCCTCAGGCATTTTTATGTCTGCTCCAGAATCTCCTGGTTCTGACACCGGATTATTTCTGAACCCTGGCAACCATGGAGACCAGTTAAAGGGTCTCAGGTCATAGACCTTGGCCAGCCTTCTCCCAGCCTGGCTTTCTGCCTAACTCACCTGATCTATTGTCTCAAAGTCACCCCTTCAAAGACTGAACACTTGACAATCTCATTAAAACTGTCAGAATTATTGTTGTTAATATTATTAACAACACGTCAGTACACTTAATTCATCTTTTGCTAACAAAACGTAAGTTTAAAAGTAATGACACCTGGTCCACATCCTCCCTGAAGCCCTTTGCACCATCGATTAAGATATATATATTTTTAATATTCATAACCAATAAAAAAAATTAGATATATTTTTTTACTTCATAGACTTTTGTTCTGCTCTTCATCATATAAAAATGGAAATTATCCAAAACAAGTTGGCTTCTAAGGAAAGATAATTTTTATAAAAAGAGATTTTGTGATTCATATCTCAGCACAGCCTTCTTCTCGTAAAATGTGAAAATCATGTACATTCTTTCAAGCACTTCATGACTTTTTTTTTTTTTTTTTTTGTCCTTTTTGAGACTGGCCGCACTGCACTCAACCAGTGAGCGCTGTGAGTACACCAGTCATCCCTATATAGGATCCGAACCCGCAGCGGGAGCGCTGCTGCGCTCCCAGCGCCGCACTCTCCCGAGTGCGCCATGGGCTCGGCCCCAGATATGATTTTAAAATATTGTTTACAAAGGGGTCTTCAATAGAAATACAATGCAGGCCACATATTTAATTTTGAATTTTCTAGTAGTCACATTAAAAAAGATAAAAGAAAAAAATAAAATTAATTTTAATAATATATTTTAACCTAATACATTCAAAATATTATAATTTCAACATTTAATCAATATAAAAATTATCAATAAAACATTTTAAGTTTTTTATTGTACTAAGTCTCCAAAATTTAATGTATTTTACAGTTATGGGGCATCTCAATGAAGATGATAAATTTTCATTGAACCTACTTAACCTGTATTTAGATTTAATTAAATTTACAGGAGAAAAAGTAGATTCCCATGCCCAAGTTTTTCAAATATATAAAGACTTTCCAATAACTGAAACAAGTATGCATTTTTAAAACTTAAATTAATTAAAGTTAAATGAAGTTAAAAATTCAGTCCTCAGACACAATGGGACATTTCAAGCAATCAAAAACCACATTGACTAGGGACTATCATATTAGAGAGATCAAACACATAAATTGGAAATAATATACTGGACCACTAAAGAGTTGTACAGATTAGATAAAGGTCAAATGCAACTCTGTTGAAAAGAGAACCTACACAGTGGGAGAAAATATTTGCAAATCATATATCTGATAAAGGGTTGATTTCCAAAATATGTAATGAACTTCTACAACTCAATAGTAAAACAACTTAATAACCCCACTTAAAAATGGGCCAAGGACTTGAAGAGACATTTTTCCAAAGAATGTAAGTGACCAACAGATATATTAAAAATTATTTAGTATCACTAATCATTAGGGAAATGCAAATTGAAACCACAATGACATATCACCTCACAATTGTCAGGGTAAATATCATTGAATAAATGAAAGATAAGTGTTAACAGGATATGGGGAAATTGGAACCCTTGCACTCCATTGGCAGGAATACAAATGATGCAGCAGGTATGGAAAACAGTATGGAGTTTCCTCAAAAAATTAAAAATAAAACTACCATATGATCCAGCAACCCAGAAAGACAAATACTGCAAAATTCCACTTATGTGAGGTATCCAAAATAATCAAATTCATAAAATCAAAGAGTGGAATAGTGGTTCCCAGGGGCTGAGGGGAGAGGGACATAGGGAGTTACTAATCCATGAGCATAAAGTTTCAGTTAAGCAAGATGAATAAGTTCTAGAGATCTGTTATAAAACATTGTACCTATAGTTAACAATTAAAATTTTTAAGAGGGTAGATTTCACATCGAAGTCAAATGCCATTTGCTTTACAATAATTTAGAGCCATTTCTTTATAACATGTTTTCACTACTATGTAGGCAGTCTTACATTTATAATCATTACTTAACAAAATACACTATTGCATAATGCTAACATATGCAATATATTTTTTTAATTTTAAGGGAATTAAAATAGCCACAGTATAATGTCTTTCCTATGTAATTTACTCCACCAAAATAATCCCTAAAGTGTTTCTTGGATCTTTTTTATACTGAATATTATTTTGTGGAACTTTTTTATTTGTTTTTTTTGTTTTTTAATCAAATTTCATTGAGGTATAATTTACATGCAATTAGATGCACTTATTTCACGTGTGCAGTTGAGCTTTAACAAATATATACACTCAGGTAACCATCATGTCAATTAAGGTACAAAACATTTCAATCACTCCCCCCAAAATTTTCCTCATACTCCTGACAGTTGCCCCAGAATACACCGATTTGAATTATAACACTACAGATTAATTTTGTCAATTCTAGAACTTCCTATAAATGGAATAATACAATATCTACATATATAGTCTATATTATTTTTGTCTGGATTCTTTTGTCAGCATAATATTAATGAGATTTATCCATGATGTTGTGTGATGCAATAATCTGTTTATTGTTATTGTTGAGTAGAATTTCAATGTATGAATAAACCACAATTTGTTCCTTTATTCTGTTTATAGATATTTGTCCCCCTCCCCCAACTTTTAGATATTATGAATAAGTACACAATGGCATACAGACCATTGTGTAGGCTTATCTTTTCATTTTCTTGAGTAGATAACCAGAAGTAGAATGTGGCATCATTTGTATCTACTGTTTAACTTCATAAGAAGCTGCCACACTGTTTTTCAAATGGTTGTATTATTTTACAATGTGTGAGAGTTTCAGTTGTTCTGTGTTCTTGTCAACACTTGGAATTATCCATGTTTTAAATTTTCACCCATTCTAGTGAGTGTGAAGTGATATCTTGTCTGTGGTCTGAATATTATTTTGACTCTTTTCATTGCCATGTATTCAGATAATCTCCTTTTCCTTTAATTGATTCACCTGTTTGCTTTTTTTTTTTTTCCTTTTTGTCTTTTTTACTGACCGGTAACGGGATCGCAACCCTCGGTGTCGCGCCCGCACCGTGCTCAGCCAGTGAGCAGGAACTGGTCTCCACATGGGATCCGAACCCTCGGCGGGAGCGCCGCCACGCTCCCAAGCGGGGCACTCTCCAGTGCGCCACCGGGCCGGCCCCACCTGTTTGCTTTCTAAGACAAAATATAAGCAGGAGGAAAATGATCAAGTGTCACAATTCTGGGTGAGTGAAAATTTCCCTAAAAGCTACAATGAGGACCAATTAGAGAATCAAACTTTTTAATATCTTGCTCCTTCTGCACTTCAGTTATAGTGTGTCATTGTGGAAGGAGCACAGGACTCGGGTTCAAATTCCTTTAGTTCAGGTACTGGCTTTGCCACATCCGAGTTGTTGACTCCTGGGGAAGTCATTTGACTTCCATAAGGGTTTGTTTCTTCTTCTGTAAAATGCAGATCTGTTGTCTCAATCTCAAAGCACTGTTGTGAGAATTAAATGAGATTAATGTGCCAACACAGGGCCTTATCATAAGCTCTCAGAGGTGTTCAAAAGTGAGCACAATCTCTTAGGAAGATCTAGACTTTTAAAATAGAACACACCATGCTATTAAAGGATATTAGAGAGGAAGCCTGGGTTCTCGAGTTAGAAAACACATGTTCAAACCCTTTTAGATGCATGATCAGCAAACATTTAAATTTTTATAACCCTGCTACCTCATTTATAAAATAAATAATGTTTGTTTTAAGATTCTAAGTGATAATATATATAAACGGCCCAGAAAAGTGCCTGGAATGATGCTGGCACTTAATAATTTCATTGTTGATGCAGTAGTTGTTGTTTTCTTTTAATGCACATTTTCAAATTAGCTAGACAGGACAGTCAAAACCTAAGTACTGATCATTAAATTCCAAATACCAGCCATGCCCAGATTGCTTTTATGAGAAAAGCAGCTTTTAAAGGGGTTTCTCCTGCAAAAACCTTTGTGCTATATATGCCAAACAAAGCCAACCCAAAACTCAGGCTTAGAAAGGACATTTACAAGCTGGCTGCTCGTGAGGGAGCCAACACCCTTGAGGTGGCTTGGAGCAAAAAGCTCACAGGGGTTGTTTTATATTGGATAGTACCAAACAAAACCCACTGAGATATTTTATTCTTAGGCAGTTTAAATGCTAAATGCACAGAGCTCACGTTGCCCCTGAATGAGCCTGAGCCACTGTTGCACTCTATATTTGGTCCTGCTATACACCTCATTCTCAGAAACCTTGGGATGCCAAGTGACAACACAACTCTTAGGATTAGTGTTCCTCCTGCCTTCATTACGGGCACTTTGAGAACGCTGATGACCAACCACAGTGTGTTTTTCTTCTTAGCTTAACCAGTACACTCACCTTCATTGCTAAAATCTGCAAAAAGGTGCTGAAGAATTATTTGCTCTGTTCTTAAATGACCTACCTAATCGTAATCCTCACAGGTAACATTAAAAAAAAAGACTTCTTTGTGAACAATAATATTCCACTTAATTCTTACATTTTCCTACCTGTTTGCCTTTCGAAGAACATCAAATAGATTGCTGAGTGATGTGTCATTCTGAAACACATTTGGAAAACTCGAGAGAAGGTGCCACACAGCTGTCTGCTCTTGCACTTGTGAGAAGAAGGATAGCACTTTTACTATTTCCTGAAACACCATCTTCTGATTGTTGGGGTCACTTGATAGCTTAAAAAAAAAACCACAAACAGTAAAATGAGACTTTAACATTTGTAATCACATGGTTTACTGTCTTTGTAAGTATCAAAAAATCTAGATTTTTCACATAAGCAATACTTTCAGATCTTCACTCAGTTTGAAGCCATCTTTTACTTGGAAAAACTGCAACCATATCTAATGTCTTAATTACATCTTAAACATAACTGGATTTTTTCCCCATAGTTCCAGAAATTGGCATATTTATTTATTTAGAAATCAGCATCTTTAAAGTTTGGTTAACAAAGATGTACTTACATAAAACATTCTAATTATGTATTTGAGAATTAAAATTAGTTTCCTAAAATAAAATTAGCTTCTGAATAATGTTTTTCTTTTTCCTTAGAACCTTAAAATTTAGGACTTACAGACATATCTTCCCCATATCCATTACTAGACCTTATATGATTTGGGTGGAGAACCGTTAAAACGAATATATAGGAAGATAGAGATATGGATATATAATACAGATATATTCGTAATATATAATATATATATTGTGCGTGTGAATATATGTATGAAAATGTTTACTATTATGATTACACACACTTAGTGAAATAAAATATTTCCAAAGTTCTGTTGCAATGTCAGGAATGACTTTATAATAAATGACTTAGAGTGAATAAATAATAAATGACTTAGAGTGAATAAATCTGTGTAATAGTCACACTGTGTACTATAAACAAGTAACAAGAACCATGACTTTTGCTTTTACTCTGCATCATAGAATTCAGCTAATACTTTCAGAGGTAACATATTTTCTTTATTATATTCCCACTCAAAGCAATTTTCTTGATAAGCTCGTTCACACTAATCAAGTTGAGCTTTCTATCTATGTTAATTCAAGGTCTTTCATGCTCAGAATGCAATTTCGAACAATGTATTTTTGACCATACATTCTATACTACGTAAATGCCAAGTTTGTTAAGAAAGGATTTTAAGTGCTTTACATTGGATTGGGATTATTATAACAGTGTCCATAATCCAGTTCATTTGGAAAACTTAGATTAATAAAGGGTAATTTAAGCATTCTGTACTTAAAAAAAATTACAGTAAAATTCAGAGAATCAAGAAAGGGCTGGCTGGCTGGTTAGCTCAGTTGGTTAGAGCATGGCCTTATAATACCAAGGTCAAGGGTTCACTTCCCTATACCAGCCAGTCTCCAAAAAAATAAAAAAATAAGGTGGGGCAGGGAATATTAAAAGTGGACATGTTTCATGTATTACTGCCTATAAAACTTCAATAGAATTCTGAATATTTTCTGTGATCTTTCATTGTACATAGGGTTTCATTAAATGTACATTATTGGTGTCATTTTCACCATTGTTACTTAGGACTAGCATCTACAAATGGTCATTAGCACTCTGCAGTGGAATGTTCTTGGTTCTAATGTGTAATATTTTGGGGAAGGGGATATATTGTATCATCAAAATTCAGCTTTTTGAATTAAGTTTGAGGTCAGTGAGAAAAATAAAAAGACACTACTCATTATTTTAACTTCCAATAATTACATGGCTCTGATATCTTAATTATTAAACCTGAATTACAACCTGAGTAGCCTCACTTAAAGATCTGAGTAAACAGTCAATCTTTATTCACCATAGAGCAGACATATTTCAACTACAAAGGTGTGTCTACATTAACCATAATGTAATACTTTTGGTTCAGCATTGAAATCATTTCAATCCTGAACTTTTAAATGATACATAGACTTTACTTAAGGTTAAACATCGTGTGCAAATAAAGAATACATGTCAAAAGTGAGGATATATTCCACTCAGCATTTCCCAGTCCATCTCCTACAGACTTGCTCATTGACTCATGTTGAGTCACTCTGTGGATCCAAAAGTGGAAACAGTACACCTCCTTCTATTGTTTATGAGAGATGGATGAGATTAAAAGATTTACACTCACCTGAGAGAACTGTTTTTCTAGTTCTTGGAGAGAAGACTCTAAAAGGGTCATGTTGGAAAGGCAAAATTTGTTAAAAACATTTTTTCCTAGAATGGTCCAAGAGAAGGCATAATCTGCAATGTACCCTGGATAGCTCTCACACAGTTCTCTTCGTATATCTTCTGAAGTCGAATTTTGCTTTAACAGCTAAAAACATGTGTGAAAGAGTGGGATAAAAACATTAGTAAATGTAAATGTTAAAACATTCTAGTCTTCAAGGAAACTGACCTGTCTTCACAATAGCATTTTAAGATTCTGCATTATCCCAAGTATTAAAAAAACAATAAAATACATTGAGTTTACCCATGAGAATTTGTGAATATGTGCATGAAAGAGAATGTGTAAATGTGGTATATTCTTGCCATTGTTATGACTTAAATTATTTATATATGATTTGTGTAGATGAACTCATTTACTGTCTCTGACCAGAGAAACTAAATGCACCATATCTTTTCTGACAAAAATTTTCACGCATAAAAATTTTATTCATTTTTCCTGGGCACTGAAGTTGCAGAAGGTCAGGTGCCCTAACTCTTTGTGATGCTTCATGGGAAACTGGTCATGATCTTTGGAGGACTTCCAAAAGAAATATCTTAAATGTCTATTCTTAAGACCAACAGTGTTTATTTATGGAAGTGAACAAAGATGGATTATGTTTTATTTGAAAACAGTTCTTCCATTTAAGTCATATACAGAAATTAAAAAGGAAAACATATATATAAACATGTAAAAGTAAGTGTGATTACTAAAAGCAATAATTGGAAATCATTTTCATAATGAAATCATTATAATCCCCTTATATACTCATATATCGTAGTGCAGACCTGTCACAGGTGCAGTGCTATTTTCACCTAAAATGTAGATCCCATTCACTGTTATTAAGTTGTTTAGGTATTTACAGAGCCAATTATCTTTAGTTGTAATATAACTCAAACCTCTGTTGTTTACTCTATCAAAGTAACTCTTTTGTAAGACATATTTCTTAAGTTTATGGAAGGTCCTTCCTAATAATTAAGTCTTGTAACCCTGTGAGGTGAGGACCAACTTTATCCTTCTCTTAAGTTTACATTACAAAATGTACACTCTGCCTTCCAGTGACTCAACTTCTAAATGTTATGGAGCAAGACAGGATCCACTTATCCAGGATGTACTGTAAGTGCTAGGTCTTCTAGTCATTCATCCATATCTCTTTTCTAACATTACACATAAACTCACCCCAAAATGATTTCTCTACTCATTCTTGCAGGGGTTGCAGAAAGCAGTAAAGAGAAAGAAAGAGGAATCCGAGAGATTGCTGACACAGGCATCAATATGTCATCGTAATTTTTACATCCCTTCCCTGGCTCCAACTACTCTAAAAATATGTGTCTATACATAGAAAATTCATTTTTGGCTTATTTCCCCTGGATATATGGCTCTGTGCTGCCTCACAAAATTTTGAAATTTCATTCCATACGAGAAAGAGAACTTGGGAGTTTCAATACAATAAAGTGGCATTTTTGAGACTAGCATTGCTATTCTAGGTGTTAAGAATTTATCTGATTCAATGCAAGACTATTTGCTTCTAGAAACCAATATGGAAAGAACAGAGTGGAATAGAATGACTGTCCCTTGTTTATACACAGACATGATTGGGGGAGGCATTAGATTGGAATTAACTGGGCATATTGGGAGCCTTCCTATGACAGACAGGGAGCTTCTGAGGCCTCAAATATTATATAAACTAGACTTTCAACATCTAGGGAAAGATGAATGGGAAAGTATTACATTTTGGCCAACACAGGCAGAGATGCCTTGATGAGAGATTGGTGTCTTTTCCTGGCGTCCATTTTCGTGTTGTCCTTTGGCTTATTTACATAACCCAGTTTATTGAGTTTCCTCAGTTACATAGAACGTTAATTCAAGGGTAACTAACACAGACATATTAAGCTACAGTGGTTATGGCTACTGGAATATGAATAAAGGCTAGAGACAAGTCTTATGATTTAGATGGAAGAAATATCTACTATATGAGACATGGACATATTAAAAATGCTTGTGGGGGGTATGAGTGAGATGGGGGAGAGGGAGAAAAATAGAAAATAGTCTCTCTAATGCAAAGTTTTGAAAGTGATCTCTACCTCATTTCTGAGGAACACATAAAGCAGGACTCAAATCCCTGTAGGGACCAGCCAGATAACTTAAATGTATGAATCTGTCTGGATGAAAGATTATCAGAAGGAGAGGGGATTGTTGTTAATGGGAGAGTTCCTGTTCTGACTAAAGACATTTAAATTCATTTTCTTAAAATCCCTGTATACTACACACACTTTTAGCTCACAGGCTGCTAGTTCACACCTCTGATAGAAATGCTGTTTATTACTTGCAATCTGAAATCACTTAAAGTGGCTGATCACTAGGAAATCCATGGATAAGTTCCCTAAAACAGTCTAAGGAAAAGGATTTTTCTACTTTGGAGTGATATTTTCCATAGCTCTAATTTTTCCAAAGACATCATTGGTATGGATGACGCAGCGAGTTCGAATAGTGTTATAGCTTCATTTGGTCTTGTATTTCTTCCCCTGCTTCAGAAAATTAAAAGATCACATATAATGCCACCCTGTTTCTTACTAAATGAAAACCTTAAGTTCAGTTAAGGAATTTAACAGGGAAGTAAATAAATATCCAAGACCTTAAAAAATTCAGAATATCTTAAAATTAAGCTGCTTGTTGAATAGCTCCTAAGAAAAGAATCTACCTGAGATATTACTCTAAACAGGAAAGGTGCTCCAAACTTCTTGTTTGGGCAATACTTCCATCAACCTAAAAGACATTTGCTCAGAGTCTGGCTAGTTAGTTGGTAGAGCATGGTGCTGATAAAAGGCATTTGTTCATCCACTCTTTATTATCTGTTCATTACAAAACTGAATGAAGTTACCTTTTCCAAACCAAGGATCCATGCAAGCACTTGACTGCCATTGAAAGTATCTGTTCCAGTACTTTCCAAATCATAACTTGGACTGGGAAAAACTGTGGCTGTAATAGAAGAAAGAACAGATTAGCATTCTAAACACACACAAGAATGAGCAGGATTACATAAGAATCCAGAAATATCACTTGTGATCTCATATACCCCAGAGCAGGAATGTGCTCAAATATGCCTCTTCCATGAAAGTTTCATACTGGCAAAATGGCAAATTCCATATTTTTTTCTGTTCACATAAAATTGTGATGATTTTGGTCTGCTCTTGGTTTTTTCCCCATCATTTAGATGTCATCCGTTTTTATTCCACTTTGTGTCATTAAACTTCATCACCAATATTATTGCCCAATAAACTGAATCATTTCTGGTTTCTCCACTAGCTCCACAAATCCATCATAGCCAACATCTGTTCAAAGGAGCTGCCAGTGCACATCTGGTGATAATGGTCTTTCTTTTTAATTATCCAGTTGGGATGATGAAATCTGCTTAGGATCATAAATTCGTTCCTCCCCAAAGTGGTTTCTGAATGATATTTCAGATCAAATAAATGGGATGAAACAATTAGTCCAGACTACAGTATAGTATAATTAAGTAATTCCCAAAGTGGCCACAGCTAATACTATTTATGACGTAGCAGAGTTTTCTGGGTTTGGAGCATTAGCTAGAAGAATACATTCATATAGTAGCATGGATGCTCATTATGCCAGTATGTTGACTTGTATAAATTTTTGACAGAAATACTTTATCCTCACAGCAAAGAATCTTAATATTCAAAGATACCAGTAACTCATCATCAACAAGGCGTAAACTTTATTTTAGTGCCCATGAGGCTGAAAAACTTGCCATCTAATTTCTGTAGACCAAGGCAATACATTTGTGAGATGACGGGCCAGAGTGAGAAACATAATCTGTGGCTATCAAGCAAAGCCAAGTCTACTGGATCGTTAACACCATGAGCTTATTTCTACTGTGCTTTAACCTCCACAGCCAAATACCCACAGATCATTCACAACAGTACAATAACTCCTCAAAACCATTCACCACCATGCTCCTACCACACTAACACAGGACTGTGTTCACTTGGTCCTTCAACTTGTATTGGAAGGCTATTTAATATCATATGGTCTTAAATATTCCATGGCACTTTTAAAGAAACTCCTCTTTTTCTCAGAGCACCAATCATATTCTAATATACAGGAATCTTTGTTTTGTTCACTGATATATCCCCAGTCCCTAGGACAGTGCCTACATGGTAGCCAGCACCCAATAAATATTTGTCAAATGAATGTAAAACAGTTCTGCTGTTTCCAGAGGTTTTTCTCAATTTGTGACTTCTAACCAGTGTTTCTCAAGTCCAGCTGCATCAAAAATCACTTGTTTTTAAACTTCTCTGAACATGTACATTTGAGAGCTACTGGCCTATATGTGAAACAAGTGCACAATCACGTTAAAATCTGTGACACTGAGATTTTAAGTGGGAGGAAGAAGCGTATAGCTGAAAGACCACCGGCCTAGAGGTTGTTCTAATACCTGCTCTGCTGTAGCACCTAATCTTATTAGGCCTTATATTCTTCATCTGTAAAATGGAAAGTTTGGATAAATCTTTGAGATTCTTTCCAATAATATTTATTACTGGGATTTCTAAGCATCCCAGCACCATCTAATTGCAGACAACGAAAGAGTCCAGAGTCAGTTCCAGGAAACTGCAATTCTCAGCATGCAGGCTTTTGCTGCAATCAGATATTTCAGTAAGAACTTAATTTCTAATTATTCTCAAGAACTTTGCATAATTGTACTGCCACACTCAGGCAACCATGAGGAACATTTAGATCTCAGGGATTTTCTAAGCATTCCGTGTTTGTTTGAAAAGTTTAGAGTATACACCTTTTAAAGATCGACCTTTACTCTTCCAAAAGGCTTGCTCTGAACTCTACAGAAGAGACGAAGCTTACCCAGCGATGCGTGCCTTCTTTCTGGAAGTTGGGTGCTGTGGAGTGATAAATTGCTGTCCTTCTCCACGTTGGATGACTTTCTCGAAATTTCACTGGAGAAGAAAAAGTAAGATCTCTATAACTTCTCCCACATTAATTTCAGTTAGTTATAGCAATGTATTATGTGGCAGATTCCAGGGCTCTGTGAGGACTTTTGAGTTTTTAATATACTTTCTAAGAGTTTAATGTCAGAATTCACCTAACCATACACCAGTGAATAGACAAGGTCTCCTACAAGGTAAGTTTTTAAGCAGAGAAAATGGCCTAGATGAGATTTAAAGTAGTCATTTTTACTTTAAAAAATGTAGAAAGGAAAATTACTTTAAAAAGACATTGGAGCCAAATATTGAAAGTATTTGTGATGTATTTTTTCCTTCTAAAAAGTTGATGGATCCCAAATAGATGAGTCCAAGGGTACTCTGAGGACTGAAACAAAGATCTGCTTATTTGTCAACACTGAAAGAAAAACAAGTTTTCTATGTTATAGATAGCATTTTGAAGATTTTCGAAGTTGAATACTTGTAAGACAGGTTCAAGAAAGAAGGAAAAGAACATTTATTGACTATCTAGTATGTGCCAGAAACCGTGGTCAGTGTCATCACAGGGGGTGTCAGGTGTAAAAGGAATAACATTAAAACAGATTTTTAATTTCACTGAATGCGTCAATGCAGTAATAATAGCATTGTGGTACCAAGAATCGCCACACAATATGCTCACACTAGCTTTTGGAAGAAAACATTATTAAACTTTCCCACAATTTAGTAACTCTCTTTTTTAAAAATGTACTTCCTGTTAAGCTTATTAGTAAAATGGAGATAATTACATTTTCTTGAAAACTGGAGGTACCTAAAATTAAGTACCTAAAATAAATGTATATATCTCAAAAATGAAATCAGTCTAAATACCTGGATATGAATAATTTTTAGAATTCCAAAAAGTTGGTGAATTTTATGTAGTTGTTCATAAAAAAGCTTAATTAAGGTACATAAACATGAATATAAAAAGGTAATGGAAAAGCAATAAATTCTTCTTACTACTGTGGTTCAATTTGATTTGTTTTAGAAACAAGATCCAAACCCTGGTTCCTGGGTGTTTTGTGATTTATTGCTGGAAAATGAAAAAAAGGTGATATTTGCTTTCATTCCCTAGTGTTTTTCCAATATTCTCTATAAAATGTACTGGTTGCTCCAAAGTTCTGCATTGTTAATATATATTTGAATTATTCATGACCAAGACTGTACTTCCCTAAATCTTTTTACATTCCTTATGCTGACTATTTGGATGGGAAAACTGTTCAAATAACAACTGACCTCAACCTTTTCTCCTCTCTCAAAAAGAAGTTTTCGAAAGTTTGAGAAAGTCGGTTTTACTTTTCTTTTTCGTGGCACTTTTTAGTTCAGCTTGAAATACTATAAGAAATACTACTGAATATCAATACATTTTGAAATAAAGGGAAAAAGTGCCTTCATAAAAATTTTAAGGACTATGGACAACCACAAAAACCAAAGGGAGGATGACAAAGATCAAAATGAGCACTGAAGGAGCAGGAGAAAACAGACTGAATAATAAATGGGAGTGAGGAAGGAAAAAAGGCAGGCGAGGCAGTAGGAAATGAAGAAAGCGTGGTCTGGCAGAAGCGAAGCCTGCACCTGCTCCACAGAGGACACTTTATCCATCTTCCCACGTTCGGATAAGAGCCCAACATTACTCCTACAAATGTTCTTTAAATGCTAGGGAAAGTCAAGCTCATTCCCTTCCCAGCTCTGCAGGCCTGAGTTTGATCATAGGTAAAATGACTACTCCCAGGCAAGAACCATAGAGGCTCCCTTCCTAACAGCACCTTGCCTTGACCGGGAAGTGCCCGTGGATACGTAGTTGCCCTCAGCCTTTTATGCATCCTTGGTGTGCCTTTTTGTGGAAATGAGAGCTTAGGATATCATATGTGCTCTGCTATTCCTCTTCCTGAAAATTCTTCCATTTTATTTTGCACTTACAAAGTGTGATGTGAGGGGACGCATCCACTACCATTACACAACAAAACTGTTTTCTTTAACCTCTGAAAATGGAAACCACAAAATACACGTACAACAGAGAGTAAGCAGGTAAAAAGGTGAATTAAGGTTATAAGTTGAAATATTCCTCCAAACAGAGGTAATTAATCCTATTAACTCCCTATTCAATCATTAGAGAAAGGCAAGTAGGTAGCCAGTCTTACCATGAGTTAGCAACATAAGTTAATGGCATTCTCTGAACTTTCTTTTCTTTTCTTTTCTTTTTTTTTAAAGATGACTGGTAAGGGGATCTTAACCCTTGACTTGGTGTTTTCAGCACCATGCTCACCCAGTGAGCAACCGGCCATCCCTATATAGGATCCGAACCCGTGGCCTTGGTGTTATCAGCACCACACTCTCCCGAGTGAGCCACAGGCTGGCCCATTCTCTGAACTTTCTAATAAGCACAATCATGCTTATAGACAAAGCACACTATATGCTTCTTGGAGTGATGGGTAAGAAACAGTACCCTTTCCATTATTTCACACAGTCATTTTATACATACTTATTTTATATACATGTGTACCCATTCCCACCACTTCTCCATTCTAGGCTGTGACATCTTTAGGAGCAGGTACCACATCTCCATCTTTATATTCCCAACATATAGCACAGTACTGGACCATAAGATCTGATGGCTGGAGTGTGGCCAAAAGTGCTTTGGAGTTAGAAAATATCTTTGGAATTTCGGCTCTGTCTTTTCCTAAAAGATCTCAGCCATTGTCTCCCTTATCTGTAAACTAGGAATGGCAACACCTACATTGAAAGGTTGTTGTGAATATGATATGAGATGTGTGTACTGAGCGTCTGTCTGGTTCCTAGCATCATAGGCACTCGCCAATTATTAGGTCTTTGTCAAAAAAAAAATTTTGGTGCAGACACTATGTTCACCATCAATATGGAGCTGAAGGCCTATTCTTATACATCTATGCTCCAGAAATAATCCCTTTAGATACTAGAACCTTCAAAAACTCTGGATTCCAAATGGATGGCTGTACCCCATTATTTTATGGATCTGTAATCTGCAAGTATTAGCTGGTGAAGTGGTATGAGGCAGAGGACTTCACCCAGGTTTTTACAACCCCTTCTTCATTTTATGAGTTTCTTTATTTCTTTATCTATTTATGAGAGGAAATTTTCATCTGTAATAATGATTAATTTTCCTCTTTTTAGACTGTAAGGTTCTTGAGAAAAGTCTACAGCATACTGTATTGGCAGATGGTAGGATGTATAGCACCTGACAAGCACTGAATACTTGATGATAAAGGATATCACTCAGAACAACTTATAGCTAAGAATGCATCTTTTCAAAATGGCTTCATCCTGCTCTTCACTGCTGCCTACCTGATTCTGCAAAGGTCCTCGGAAGAGGAAACACACAGGATGGCACCCAAAACACAAGCGTACAATCTCACAATGTACCCACCATATTCATTCACTAACCCAACATTGATTCAGTTCCCACTACATATAATGTAATGGGCAAATCAAATAAGAAAACCAGGGATTGCTATACATTAATGGGAATAGCTAAGTAAGGACAGGCCCAGGGGACAATGTGAACACATAACAGGGGCCCATAAATCAGAATTCTCATTTGTATCTCTTACAGAGCACAATCCTGAGAATCACAGTCTTATTTTTTTAATTCTTTAAAAAAAATTTTTTGTTTTAGTTAATTAATTAATGTATTTATTTTTATTGAAACATGGTTCATTGTACATATCTGTGAGGTACAGAGTTAGATATCAATATCTGTGTGCAATATCAGGATAACTAGTATATTCAGCATTATACAATGCAAACATTTTTTATGGTCCTTTACCAATTCCTACTTTATCCCCCTCTCCCTTTCCCAGCTCTGATAAACTCAGTTTTATTCTCTCCTTTTGAAATTCTAAGTATTATTAGAATCACAATCTCAAACTTATATTCAGCATTATACAATGCAAACATTTTTTATGGTCCTTTACCAATTCCTACTTTATCCTCCTCTCCCTTTCCCAGCTCTGATAAACTCAGTTTTATTCTCTCCTTTTGAAATTCTAAGTATTATTAGAATCACAATCTCAAACCAAGCCTCTTTCCATCTTAAAAATTTTCCTTCACCTTTTCTTTATTTTTTTCACCTATTTATTTATTTTTCCTCTTAATTTTATTTTGTCGATATACAATGAGGTTGATTATTGTGTCCCATTACCTTTTCATTAGACAGGTGGTTCTAAAATGGGAGAAATTTTGACCTTCTCCCCAGGGGACATTTGGCAATGTCTAGAGACATTTTTGGTTGTCACAACTGTGTGGGGGTGCTACCGGCATCTAGTGGGTAGAGGCCAGGGATGCTGCTAAATATCCTATAATGCACAAAACAACAAAGAATTATCTGGCCCTAAGTTTCAGTACTATCAAGGTTGGGAAACTCTGCACTAGACTGTGTCAGATAGTAGAATTGTTCAGTGATAACTCATTCCCGTTCTTACTCCCCAGGACCAACTCAGGAGACCTAAAAATCTTATTCGGGAGTTCTAAACAGTTCTGAGGAAGTCTCATAGAATCTATCTCATACTGGATATCTCTGGGAAAACTTTATGCAAAGCATTATGCAAAACTTAGATGCCCCCTGAATTGGCATGTGGGCCCATCTGATTCCAGAAAATTCAACCCTGAAAGTGAGCCAAGAAATCCTGAATCAAATCACCAAGTGGTCTGTGGCATCATTTAATTAACTTTTATTGGACCCAGCTGCATGTACAGTACCAGGGACATGGCTAAGGGCCTCTCCTATAAAACGCTGAAGACAGACTCTGCCTCGATGGCATTTATAGGGCTCTATTTTAGAGTGGAATTCAAAAAGGGAAACATCTGGGATTTAAGAGTTCCATGATGCTGGGAGGAAAACTAAACACAGAATAGATTTTACTTCTTCTCAGATATATCTACCAATAGCTACATTAGGGAAATGTCACATTTATATATATCACTGTAATATGCACTTAGACTGG